CACAGGGATCACAGGATCACTGGATGTTCTGGGATCCACAAGGATCACGGGATCACAGACTGGGACCCACAAGGATCCCAAATCACAGGATGTTCTGGGACCCACAAGGATCACAGACTGGGACCCCCAAGGATCCCAAATCACAGAATGTTCTGGGACCCACAAGGATCACAGACTGGGACCCACAAGGATCCCAAATCACAGGATGTTCCGGGACCCCCAAGGATCACAGGATATTCTGGGACCCACGAGGATCCCAAATCACAGGATATTCTGGGACCCACAAGGATCCCAAGTCACAGGATGTTCTGGGATCCACAGGGATCATAGAATCATATAAATATATAGATATTTATGTCAGATCTTCTGAGTTGCAAGGGACCCACAAAGACCATCGAGCCCAACTCTCACAAAGATGAATCTGCTGGTCTGTGCTTTGGGAAGATGCAGAAATTCCATGTCCTTCATGGATGTAAATCCTTCATCCTTCTATGTCTTTCATGGTTGTAAATCAATCATCCTTCTATGTCCTTCATGGATCTGGATCCTTCACCTTCTGCCTCCTTCATGGATGTGGATCCTTCATCCTCCTACGTCCTTCATGGCTGTAGAAGAGACCCCATGAACCCCCTAAAATCAGGTCAGAATTTACCCAGATGTTTGGTTTGGCCTCCAGAGGTGAAGGCCCAGCCTTCCCCTTGTGGAGCACCCAAAGAAAATTGGGCTTAAAAGCGAAAAAAAAACCACCTTAAAAGCGAAGTCAGGGGACAGACCCAGCGCTGTCCCACACTGCTGTGCCCAGGGAGGTGGGGAATCCTCCCACCAGCCCAGGATCTCTTAAATCCCGCCCTGATCCAGCCCTTTTTCCAGCTCAGATCCCCGAGTAAAACCTCCCCCTCCCTCCCGGTAATCCCTGGACCGCATCTCAGGCCGCCACTTGCGCTGGGACCTCCCCCGGAGCACGAGGGACTAATTAGGGACTAATTTATCCCCTGTCCTAACCCACGGGTCTTCTTTGTTCCCAATCCCCGTCCCGGGGCCGCAGGGCTCGGGAAATCCCAACAGATCCGCCGCCCCCCCTCAGTCTCAGGAGCTTGTGGAGGGGAGGCAGCAGGAAGCCCCCAAAAATTTCAGGAGTTCCCTGAAGGACGGGGAGGCAGCGGGGCCAGGGTTGGGAGCAGCAAAACCCCCCCAAAATTTCAGGAGTTCCCTGAAGGACGGGGAGGCAGCGGGGCCAGGGCTGGGAGCAGCAAAACCCCCCAAAATTTCAGGAGTTCCCTGAAGGACGGGGAGGCAGCGGGGCAGGAGGGGGCTGGGAGGAGCAAAACCCCCCAAAATTTTGGGAGTTCCCTGAAGGACAGGGAGGCAGCGGGGCAGGGCTGGGAGCAGCAAACCCCCCAAAAATTTCGGGAGTTCCCTGAAGGACGAGGAGGCAGCGGAGCAGGAGGGAGCTGGACCGTCCTTTTGAGCTCAAAAAGGGGCGGTCAAACTGCTGGGACTTCCCAGGGGAGCGGGAAAAAGGGGCTGGGAGTTGGATATCAGAAGGAAAAACGAGCTCAGAACCCCCCCGCGCTGTCCCCGATGATCGATCCCCCAATTAACGGCGAAAGGTGAAACAAATCGGCATCCACCTCGCCGAAATCCCTGAGGCTGGAAAAGCCCTCCAGGGTCTGGGATTGATCTTGGCTCCCAACCCAGAGCCCCCAGTGCCACGTCCAGCGGTTCCTGGGACACCTCCAGGAGTGGGGACCGGCCAGGAGTTTCCCCCAGGGAATCCCGAATCATTTAAATTGTTTTTTTTATTATTATTATTATTTACACCTCGAATAAGAGGCTGGAATTGCACGAGCTGATCTGGTTTCAGGTGGGATACCCCAAACCAAATGGTGTCCTGTTTTTTGGCTAGGATAAAGTTCTTTTTTTTTTCCTTTTTTTCCTTTTTTTTTTTTTTTTTTTTAATTAATCAACCCAGACCAAAGCGTTTCTTAGAATTAAAATGCTGGAACGGTATTTTTTAATTATTAAATTATTATAATTTTTTTCTTTTTCTTTTTTTTTTTACTGAAAGAACTGCGTTCAGACGTCCCTCAAACACCCGAATATTTCCTCTGGTTATTTTGGCCCGGCAGAAAAACCAGTTCCCCAACTTTCAAACGTCTGCTGGAGCTCGTTGCTCTTAGAAAGAAGAGAAGGGGGAAGGGGGTGAAAAAAATCGTCAAAACACTCCTTAATATTTAGAAATAATAATAATAATAATAATAAAGGCAAAACAATCCTCAAGATTCAAATACAAAATGAATAAAGGGGAATAAAACCAGCGAGGTTGTTGGGGGTTTTTTTGGTGCTTGTTTTACAGGCTTTAAGGGGGATGAACCACCCTTTTTATTTTTAGGAAAATCCGACGAAAAGGGGGCCTGGGAACAAAGCCCAGCCCATCCCAGGCTGTGAAGGGGCGGCTGAGCCTCCTCAGGCTCACAAGGAAGAGCCAAATCCGGAGCCAAATCCGGAGCCTCGGGCGTTCCTGGACACCCCACCCGTGGCCCACCCATCCTGGGCTCTCCTCCTTCCCAAATTCCACCCTCGGGGCGCTGGGCAGCTCCCAAAAATCCCCCCCAGTTCGTGTTTGGAAGGGCAAAAAAACCCCACCCTTGGTTTTGTTTCTGCACCCACTTCGGCCCGAGGAGCCGAACCCCACGGGACGAGGCCAGGGACGTTTGGAGGGGACATTTTTTCCACTCTCAGCATGGAAATGACCCCGCCCCGCCCTGCCCTGCCCCAAAAGTGCCGATCCCCCCCTCCCCGCCCCTTTAATCGTCCTTTAATCGTCCCCATTTCTTTGTTTTGTTGTTGTTGTTGGTTTTTTTCCGGGCTGCAATTACTGAGAGCCGGGGAGGGGGGAGGTTAAAAGTGGGGTGGTGTGACCTGTAATTCCTCCCGCGCTGGAGACAGGGCGAGATTTCCCGGGATAACGACTGTCTGGGGATCCAGCAGGTGAGAGGGAAGGAGGATTCCTTGCTGGAAATGCGGGGTTTGGGCTCATCCCAGGAGGGATCCCCGTGGTGCCTGAGGGGCCCCGGCCTAAATTAGGGAACCCCCGTGCTTGGCCAGAGGAATCACCTCGTGGAAATGTTGGGGGTTTTTTTCCATGGAATAAACCCCCAGCAAGGCGATCCCGTGGTGAGATCTGGGACAAAGTCCACCCCACCCCATTAAAACCTGGAGATCTCGGTGCCAAAATCGATCCCACCCCATTAAAACAGAGAGATCTCGGTGCCAGAGTCGATCCCACCTCGTTAAAGCCGGGAGATCTTGATGGCAAAGTTGATCCCATCCCATTAAAACCGGGAGACCTCGGTGCCCTAAGTTGATCCCACCCTATTAGGGCCAAGAGATCTCGGTTCCTTTTAAGTCCCATGGGGCAAACGGCACTTTGTCAGCCCTAAGTTGATCCCATCCCATTAAAACCAGGAGATCCCAGTGCCAAAGTCGATCCCATCCCATTGTGGTCAAGAGATCTCGGTGCCAGAATTGATCCCACCCTATTAAAACAGAGAGATCTCAGTGGCAAAGTCAATCCCACCCCATTAAAGACAAGAGATCTCGGTGCCAAAGTCGATCCCACCCCATTAAAACAGAGAGATCTCGCTGCCTTTGAAGTCCCACTGGGAAAGGACACTTTTGTCACCTTTAATTTCACCAAAGCAGAGCTTTTTAAACCCGGAACGGGGATGGCTCCGGCCGGACACGGCCCCATCCACCACCCCTCCCTCCCTCCCTCCCTTTCCCTGAAGGGGTGTGGTGGTTTTGTTGGTGGTTTCTTTTGTTGGTTTTGGGTTTTTTTTTCCACCTCTTTTCGTCGCTTCTTTAAAGAGTGAAAAGCCCAAACGCGTCCTGTCAAAGCGGTTTTATTGAGCGGGAAGTGGGAGCAGCCGGTGACAAACAAAACGGTGACAAAACCGCGACAAAACCGCGACAAAACCGCGACAAAACGGTGACAAAACGGCGACAAAACGGTGACAAAACGGTGACAAAACAGCTCCGTCCGCGCCGGTGCGAGGGGTTGACAACGCGATCCACGCACCGGGAACTTCCCTCGGCATTTCGGGGGAAAAAGAGGGGAAAAAATAAAAAGGGAAGGGGCGGGGAGGAAGGAGGGGGAGGGTGGGGGGTGATCTCTGCCAAAAAAATCAGCACGCCCTGAACCAGCCACCCCTAAACATGCAGAAGCGACGGGGGCCACTACGCGTTCGTCTGGAATTCCAGGCGACGGAGCAAAAGCTGCGGAGGAACCGGGAAGGTGCTTTGGAACCGCCTCCCTTTCGGATTTCAGCTTAACATTTTGGCAGCTCGGGGTTTTTTTGTGTGTTTTTGTGGTTTTTTTGTGGTTTCTATTTTTTTGTTTTGGGGTTTTTTTGGGTTTTTTTGTTGGTGGATTTTTTGTGTGATTTTTTTAATTTATTTTTGGGGGGTTTTTTTGCGGTTTTTTTTGGATCGGAAAAAAAATAAAATAAAAATGGGAAGGATAAAAATAAAAGGGAGCCTGCGCTTTGCGGTGTCTGCTGGGAAAGTGAAACGCTTAAATCCTCGCTCGCTTTTTCTGAAATGCTTTGGGGAGGAGCTGGAAGGAGGAAAAAAAAAACAACCAAAAAAACACAAAAGGGGGTGTGTTGGAAGGAGGAAGGTTGTTAATTAATCCGGGGAAGCAGCGCCGCGAGCAAACCCGTTAAAGCCGTGATGACCTACAGCGTGAACTCGGGGATAAATACTGAGGTGGGAGAAGCTTCTAGAGGTTGTGTGGAGGGGGAGGGGTGGGCTCTGAAAACGGGGGGTGCGAGGGGGTGTGGTGGGAAAATCTGGTGCTGATAAATGCGGGAATGGGTTCGGGAAGGGGGTTTTTGGGATTATCCCGCGTCATCCCGGGGTGGGAACGGCGGCTCCAGCCCCCACACGGGGCGGGGGGGGGGGTGGTGGTGGGGGATGTCCTGGACACCCCCCCGGCCCTACGGGACCACGCAGGGGTCTCTGACCACGCCGAAGTTGCCCCCCACCACGCCGGGGTTGCACCCCACGACCTCGGGGCTGCTGGACACGACCACGGGCGGCCCGGCCAGCTGCCTGATGACGCAGCCCTGGTTGCCGAAGCTGAGCACCCCCCCGGCCTGCACGGCCGCCCCCACCCTGGCGCTGAGACCCCCGGGGCGGGCGGGGTAACCCCCGCTGCGGGAGCTGAACCCCCCGGCCTTGCAGGGGACCCCCCCGGGCTGGCAGAAAACCTCTGGGGCCACCACGCACGGCTTGGCCCCGGCGCTCATCACACGCTTGGGGTGGATGCCGGCGCTGCGGGAGCTGAATCCTCCTCCTCCTCCTCCTCCTCCTCCGCCTCCTCCTCCTCCTCCTCCTCCTGCTGCGGGCGAGCTGTGCCTGCCCGAGCGCCGGCCCAGGGAGCCGTAACCACACGGCCCGCAGTCGTCCGGGATGGCGAAACCGCTGCTCACCACGGCTGCAAAACAGCCCCGAGGGGAAGGGGGGGGTTATTTGGGGAGGGGGAACCCGCAGAAACACAAAATCAACCCCCACTCCCCGGTCCTGCTCTGGGAGAGACTTCCCTTCAACCCCGGGTAGGTTGTGCCTTGAGCGACCCCGGAGCGCGGTCCCTTTGTCTGACTGAGCCCTCCCCCAACCCCGTTCCTTCCAGCTCCTCCCCAGCGTGTCCCCGACACGTGTCCCGTCCCCACGGACCCTCCCTGTCCCCCTCCCACCCCCACGGACCCGCCCCTGTCCCCCCCAAGGACCCGCCCCATGTCCCCCCACCCCGTGTCTGCTCCAGGTGCTGCCACCTTCCCTCCCAGGTCCCAGTGCCTGTCCTGGGCATCTTCAGTGTGGCCTCAGAGGGGAGAAAAGGGGCGTGAATTTGACCTCCCCACTTTTCCCCTCCATCCAAAACCTGATTATTTGGTTTGTTTTTTGTGGTTTTTTTTTAAATTTTAAATTATTTGAGGTTTCTGGGGTTGAAACCCCCTCAAATTTCTGGGGTTAAACCTCGCTGGGGTGGCACGGGGAGGCAGAGGGAGGGGTCAGACAGACAGACAGACAGACAGACAGTGATGCTCCCTAAAAGTGCCTTTCCTAAAAACAAACCCCCTGACGACTGAAAAACCCCGGGGGTACTCACAGACGCTCACAGGGTTCCCCACGCAGATCCTGTTGAGGGAGAGAGAGACAATCCAGGTAAATCCCAACTCCCAGCCCTCGTGACATCACCTGGGAAGCTCCCAGAGCTGCAAAAACTCATGTTGGGGGGAGCCAGCACCCGAAATACGGCGACGGGGACGAAGCCGCGCCACCCACCTGCTCTCCTCGCCCTCCAGGAGGGTCTTGTAGGTGGCAATCTCGATGTCCAGGGCCAGCTTGACGTTGAGCAGCTCCTGGTAGTCCCTGAGCATGCAGGCCAGCTCGTCCTTGGCCTTCTGCAGGGCGCTCTGCAGCTCCACGTGCTTCTCCCGCGCGTCCTTCAGCGCGCAGTCCCCGCGCTGCTCCACGTCGCAGATGGAGGTCTGCAGGCAGGACACCTGCCAGGAAAAGGGGTGGGGGGGACACACACAGCAGTGAAGGGGTCTTATCTACCCCTACAAGGTTTGGATTCCTCGTTCCCGGGTGTCCCGGTTTGGGGTAAATCCAAATTGCCGCTCCCGCCCCGCTTTTTGGTTTTTGGGATTCCCAGAGGGTGATCCGTCGTGTCTGAGCTGTCCAACCTCCCTGGGATTGTCACCTTGGGCCTCTCCTACCTGTTTCTTGTCCTCCTAAAGGTCAGGGTGTCACCTTTCCCCATATCTGAGCTGTCCAGCATTGCTGGGATCATCACCTCTCCTTACCTGCCTCTTGACCTCCTAAAGGGCAGGGTGTCACTTTTCCCTCTTTCTGAGCTGTCCAGCCAAACTGGGATCATCACCTCTCCTACCTGCTTCTCCTAAAGGTCAGGGTGTCACCTTCCCTGTTTCTGAGCTGTCCAACCTCCCTAGAATCATCACCTTTCCTTACCTGCCTCTTGTCCTCCTAAAGGGCAGGGTGTCACCTTTCCCCAAATCTGAGCTGTCCAACCAAACTGGGATCATCACCCTGGGCCTCTCCTACCTGTTTCTTGACCTCCTAAAGGTCAGGGTGTCACCTTTCCCTGTTTCTGAGCTGTCTAGCATTGCTGGGATCATCACCTCTCCCACCTGTTTCACGGCTTCCTAAAGGGCAGTGTGTCACCTTTCCCCAAATCTGAGCTGTCCAACCAAACTGGGATCATCACCTCTCCTACCTGCTTCTCCTAAAGGTCAGTGTGTCACTCTTTCCCTGTTTCTGAGCTGTCCAACCTCCCTAGAATCATCTCTCCTACCTGTTCCTTGTCCTCCTAAAGGGCAGGGTGTCACCTGTCCCTGCTTCTGATCCTCCCAGGGATCCTCCCCTCTCCTCACCTGCTTCTTGACGCTCTCCAGCTCGCACTGCAGCTTCTGGATCATCCTGGTCAGCTCTGAGATCTCGCACTTGTTGCTCTGCAGGTCGTCACAGTACTTCCCTCTCTTGTCCTGGAGCTCCTGGAACTGGGAAAAACAAGGGAGGATGTCACTTTTTGGGGCAGGGATTAGGATCAGGGTCAGGAATTAGGGGTTAAGGGTGGGTCTACCAAGCCTACCCTGGTTTGGTAGAAAGCATCCACTTCCTCCTTGCTCTTCTGGGCGATCTCCTGGTACCAACACTCCACGTTCTTGATGATGCTCTCCATGTCCAGGTCCCGGTTGTTGTCCATCTTGACGATGACCGAGGTGTCGCAGAGCTGCCGATCCACCTGAGCTCGTTCCTGCAGGGCAAGGGGGGAGGGGGGGGTTGGGAAAGGCTTTGTCAGCTCCCAAAACCCGACCCGGCCAGGGAGGGAACGAGCCGTGAATTGTCCCCCTCTGGGCTGGGGGAGGAGATGGCTCAGCAGAAAATCCCGGGGATTGATGGATGAGTCGTTGCTTCTGACCCGCTTGGGGACCCGGAGCAATCCCGCCCACATCAAGGGCCGGGAATTTTGTGTCCTGTCATCTGCAGACGCTTCAGGGAGTGGGGTGCTAATGACAGGACAGAGTTCCTTCGGCTCTTCATCTGGAAATCCGGAGGAACCGGACGGGACCCATCTGGTTCCCCCCCTTCCCCCCGAGGGGCAGAGCGAGGAGGACGGAGCCGGTTCCTCCCTGGAGGAGAAGGGGGAACCGCCCCATTCCCAGCATCGTCACGTTAATTTGAGATCAGCCTTTGAATTATTCAGGGCTTGGGGGATGAGACGCTTCCCGGAGGGGATTCCAGGGCGTTGGGAATTTATAGGGGGAAGGGGACAGGACCACCAGAGGAACTCACCTCCTCAAACACGCATTTCAACAGCTCCAGCTGCCTCCTCAGCAGGTCCACCTTCACCTCCAGCTCCTCCTTGTTCAGGAAGATGCAGTCTGCGTCCTGAAAGAGAGGAGGGACCCACATTCCAGCCCGTTTCCACAGGGAAAAGCGGCAAAAGTGAGGCAGAAACGCGTCCCGACAGGATCCCCCAGGGCAGAAAGGCGTGAGAGGCTGAGTCAGGGTTTGTCCTGGTGTCTCCTGGAGGGAAAACCGAACCATCCCGACACGACCGACAGGAACCGGCTGATTTATTACTCAGCTCCCAAACCCAGAGCGTTTCAACAGCATTTTTTTTTTGTTGTTATTTTTATTTTTTTTAAATATTCTTGAAGTGGTTTCTGCTTTTCTGATGTCCGAGAATAAAAGGACGTGGATGGGGGGGAAGGACCAGGAATAACCGGGTGTTCTGGTGGGACCTGCCCCGCCCCGTCCCCCTCCCAGAGAGCGTCTGAGGTGACAAAACCGCGGCTGTGGAGCCGATGTTGTCGACTTTTCCTCTCCTCCCGACCCCTCTGCCTCTTCAAAGTCTCCCTCCTGCTGCTTGTGGATATTTTTTTAACCAATAATTCGCTGTTTCGACCTCCCCGGGGGAAGGAGGGGGGGAAATGACCCAGGGGTGTCGAGCCCCTCACCTTTTTGAGCGCCACGAACTCGTTCTCCACCGTGGTGCGCCGGTTGATTTCCTCCTCGTACCTGCGGGAACGGCGCGAGGGAAAAGGGGCTGAGGAGGGGAAAAGCTCTGGGGCAGAGGGGCATCGACCATCGGGATAAATGATGGCAGCCCTGAAGGTGTAAACGGCAATAACCTCGGGTGTAAATGGCAATTATTTCGGGTGTAAATGGCAATAATTTCGGATGTAAATGGCAATAAACTCCGGTGTAAATGGCAGTAATTTCAGGTGTAAATGGCAATGAATTCAGGTGTAAATGGCAATGATTTTAGGTGTAAATGGCAATAAACTCGGGTGTAAATGGCAATGATTTCAGGTGTAAATGGCATCAACCATCAGGTATAAATCACACCAGCCATCAGGTATAAATGATAATAATCTCAGGTATAAATGGCAGTAACTCCGGGTATAAATGATGATAATCTCAGGTATACATCGCAATAACTTCAGGAATAAACGGCAACAGTCTCAGGGATAAATGATAATAATCTCAGGTATAAATGTCAGTAACTTCAGGGATAAATGGCAATAACTGCAGGGATAAATGGCAATAACCCCGGGTACAAATGACATCAATCACCGGGTACAAATGACATCAATCACCGGGTGCAAATGACAAGCTCCCCCTGCTCAGGCACCGCAGGATCAGAGTCCGGAGACCCAACATTAACCCACCCACCGCGACATCAGAAGCTGCTTCATCAGCAAGACCATTCATTACCGATGCAAAGAGCTCCGCGGGCAGACGGGCAGGAATGTGCCAGCCCTCGAGGGGCTTTGTCACCTCCCGAGGGGCTGTGTCACCTCCCGAGGGACTGTGTCACCCCCGAGGGGCTTTGTCACCCTCGAGGGGCTGTGTCATCCCCGAGGGGCTGTGTCACCCCCCCGAGGGGCCGTGCCATCAGTCTGGGAGGGAATGAACCCAAACCGTGGAATCAGAGAATCACAGAAATCAGAGAATCACAGAAATCAGAGAATCAGAGAAATCAGAGAATCAGAGAATCACAGAAATCAGAGAATCACAGAAATCAGAGAATCACAGAAATCAGCCGGGGTTGGAAAAGCCCTTCGAGCCCGTCCAGTCCGACCCTCACTCTGATCCCTCCATCTCCCTCCTCCTCTCCAGGCTGAGTCTCCCCTGAGCCTCCTCCTCCTCTCCAGGCTGATCCCCCCCATCTCCCTCCTCCTCTCCAGGCTGATCCCCCCCATCTCCCTCCTCCTCTCCAGGCTGATCCCCCCATCTCCCTCCTCCTCTCCAGGCTGATCCCCCATCTCCTCCTCCTCTCCAGGCTGATCCCCCATCTCCCTCCTCCTCTCCAGGCTGATCCCCCATCTCCCTCCTCCTCTCCAGGCTGATCCCCATCTCCCTCCTCTCCAGGTTGATCCCCCATCTCCCTCCTCCTCTCCAGGCTGAGTCTCCCCGACCTCCTCCTCCTCTCCAGGCTGATACCCCCATCTCCCTCCTCCTCTCCAGGCTGATCCCCCATCTCCTCCTCCTCTCAGGCTGATCCTCCCTCTCTCCAGGTTGATCCCCCCATCTCCCTCCTCCTCTCCAGGCTGATACCCCCCATCTCCCTCCCCCTCTCCAGGCTGATCCCCCCATCTCCCTCCTCCTCTCGAGGTTGATCCTCCCATCTCTCCAGGTTGATCCCCCCCATCTCCCTCCTCCTCTCCAGGCTGATCCCCCCATCTCCCTCCTCCTCTCCAGGCTGATCTCTCCCATCTCCCTCACCCCTCTCCACCGCTGGGATCCCCCATCTCCCTCCCCTCTCCCGGTGGGAATTGCGCTCCTGGCCGTCCCCTGATGGGGCAGGGAGAGCCCGAGGCAGGTCGGGGTGGGGCTGGGGGGTTTGTCCTTACTTGCACTTGAACTCCTCGACCAGCTGGCTGGTGGCGCACTCCTCGCTGCCCAACTTCTGCTTCTCGCAGAGCAGGCAGTCGAGCCGCTTGCGGAGGTCGCAGATGTAATTCTCGAAGTAGAGCTCCAGGTTCCTGCCCTTCCTGGGCAGCGAGTGCTGCTGCAGCAGCCCCCACTTGGTCTCCAGCACCTTGTTCTGCTGCTCCAGGAAGCGCACCTGGAGGGGAACAACAGCCCTTGGAGAGGGGGAGGGAGGGGAGGAGGAGGGGAGGGGAGGGAGGAAGGGAAGGGAAGGAAGGGAAGGGAAGGGAAGGGAAGGAAGGGAAGGGAAGGGAAGGGAAGGGAAGGGAAGGGAAGGAAGGAAGGGAAGGAAGGGGAAGGGAAGGGAAGGGAAGGGAAGGGAAGGGAAGGGAAGGGAAGGGAAGGGAAGGGGAGTCTGGAGATCACGCAGCTAAATTATTTAGGAATCTGGAGATCACACAGATGAATTATTTGGAAATTGGGAGATCACACAGCTGAATTATTTGGAAATCGGGAAATCACACAGCTGAATTATTGGGAAATCACACAGCTAAATTATTTAGAAATCTGGAACTCACACATCCAAACTATTTAGAAATCTAGGGACCATACATCTAAATTATGTAGAAATCTGGAAATCACGCAGCTAAATTATTTGGAAATCTGGAAATCACACAGGTAAATTATTTGGAAATCTGGAATTCATACAGCTCAATTATTTGGAAATCTGGAATTCATACAGCTCAATTATTTGGAAATTGGAAAATCATGCAACTAAATTATTTGGAAATCTGGAAATCATACAGCTAAATTATTTGGAAATCTAGAATTCACACCCCTAAATTATTTAGAAATCCAGAGTTCATATAGGTAAATTATTCCAAAATCTAGAGGTCAGGTATCTCAAATATTTAGAAATCTAGAATTTGGGCATCTAAGTTGTTTTGGAATCTGGAGTTGAGGCATCTGAAATTATTTAGAAATCCAGAGTTCATACATCTAAATTATTCTGCTATCCAGAGTTCAGACAGGTAAATTATTTGGAAATCTGGAGTTCAGACACCTAAATTATTTTGAAATCTAGAGTTCAGGCATCTAAATTATTCAGAAATCCTGAGTTCACACATATAAACTATTTAGAATTCTGAAGTTGGCACATCTAAATTATTTAGAACTCTAGAATCCACACATCTAAATTATTTAGAAGTCTAGAGTCCAGGCATCTAAATCATTTAAGAATCCAGAATTCAGCAGATCCAAATTATTTAGAAATCTAGAATTCACACCCCTAAATTACTCAGCAATCTGAATGTCTTGCCTAAATAATTTAGAAATCGAAAGTCCCATGTCTGGGTTATTTAGAGACCTAAAAGCCCCGTGCCAAAATCTGCTTTTCTCACCAATTTTTAGGGAAAAAAAATCTCTGGATGTATTTTAGGATGAGATTGAGCCCTCAGAAGGTGAAAACTTTTTGTCTTCTGGGTTTTTTTTTCTACAAAGGGATCCTCAGGTGAGAGCTCAGAGTCCTTATCCGACATCTCCAGATCAAGATTAACCTTTCAGGAGTGTTTTTTTTTGGAAGGTTTAAAGGCAAAGATGGGGGGGGGAAATTACTGGAATTTGGGGACAAAAAGATTTGAACTGCAGGATGGAAAGATGGGGCTGTGGGTTCCACCTGAGCTGTGGTGAGAAATCCAACCCTGAATTTTGGGTGAATTTTGGGAGAGGAAACTCCTGCAGGAGGGGCCAGGACACGAACACCACCCAGCAATGGAACCAGCACAAGGAACGAGCCCTCCCCCAGTCCTGGGAGGTCAACACCCCCCAAAAAATTATTGTTCCTTATTAAAAAACACATCAAAATCATCTGAAAACTCTCACGGGGATCTGGGGCTGAGGTGGGTGGGGTTTTTGGAGGGGGTTTGTTGGCTTGAGGCAGGAGCTGGGATGAGTTTGTGGCAGGGGCTGGGATGAATTTGTGGCATGAGCTGGGATCAGTTCATGGCAGGAGCTGGGATGAATTTGTGGCATGAGCTGGGATGAGTTCATGGCAGGGGCTGGGATGAATTTGTGGCATGAGCTGGGATCAGTTCATGGCATGAGCTGGGATGAATTTGTGGCAGGAGCTGGGATCAGTTTATGGCAGGAGCTGGGATGAATTTGTGGCAGGAGTTGGGATCAGTTTGTGGCAGGAGCTGGGATCAGTTCAGGTCAGGAGCTGGGATGAATTTGTGGCAGGAGCTGGGATGAGTTTGTGGCATGAGCTGGGATGAGTTTGTGGCATGAGCTGGGATCAGTTCATGGCAGGAGCTGTGATGAATTTGTGGCAGGAGCTGGGATGAGTTTGTGGCATGAGCTGGGATGAATTTGTGGCAGGAGCTGGGCTCTGGAGGGGGTTCACTGAGTAGGGGCATGGAGATGGATTTTGGGGAGGGTTCATTGACTCATGACATGAGCTGGGGTTTGGGAGAGATGGGATTGACTCGTCACGAGCTGGGTTTTGGAGAGCTGGGATTGACTTGTGACATTAATCTGGGTTTGGAGGGCTGGGATCAACTCATGACATGAGCTGGGTTTGAAGAGCTGGGATCAACTCGTGACACGAGCTGGGGTTTGGAGGGGATTTATTGACTCATCTCACAAGATGAGTTTTGGAAGGGATTTATTGACTCGTGTCACGAGATGGGTCTTGACAGGGTTCATCGACTCGTGCCATGAGCTGGGATCAACTCATGACACAAGCTGGGTTTCAGAGAGATGGGATTGACTCGTCACGAGTTGGGTTTTGGAGGGCTGGGATCAACTCATGACATGAGCTGAGTTTTGGAGAGCTGGGATTGACTCGTCACGAGTTGGGTTTTGGAGGGCTGGGATCGACTCCTGACACGAGCTGGGATTTGGAGAGCTGGGATTGAGTCGTGACACGAGCTGGGGTTTGGAGGGCTGGGATCGACTCGTGACACGAGATGGGATTTGGAGGGCTGGGATCAACTCATGACACGAGCTGAGTTTTGGAGAGCTGGGATTGACTCGTCACGAGTTGGGTTTTGGAGAGATGGGATCAACTCATGACATGAGCTGGGGTTTGGAGAGCTGGGATTGACTCGTCACGAGTTGGGTTTTGGAGGGCTGGGATCGACTCATGACATGAGCTGGGGTTTGGAGAGCTGGGATCAACTCCTGACACGAGCTGGGGTTTGGAGAGCTGGGATTGACTCCTGACACGAGCTGGGTTTTGAAGAGCTGGGATCAACTCATGACACGAGCTGGGGTTTGGAGAGCTGGGTTTGAGTTGTACCACGAGTTGAGTATGGATGGGGTTCATCGAGCTGGGTTTTGAAGAGCTGGGATTGACTCGTGACACAAGCTGGGGTTTGGAGGGCTGGGATCAACTCATGACACGATCTGGGGTTTGGAGAGCTGGGATCGACTTGTGACATGAGCTGGGTTTGGAGGGTTGGGATTGACTTGTGACATGAGCTGGGATTTGGAGAGGGTTCATCAACTCCTGACACAGTCTGGGTTTGGAGGGCTGGGATCAACTCCTGACATGAGCTGGGTTTGGAGAGGTGGGATCGACTTGTGACCTGAGCTGGGGTTTGGAGAGGGTTCATCAACTCGTGACACAAGCTGGGATTTGGAGAGCTGGGATCAACTCCTGACACGAGTTGAGGTTTTCAAGAACTGGGATCGACTCTTGACACAAGCTGGGCTTTGGAGAGCTGGGATCAACTCCTGACACGATCTGGGCTTTGGAGGGGGCTGACCAGGCTCGGTTTCTCCCCGGGAGGAGCCTCCCCATCCCCATCCCCCACCCCCACCCCCACCCCCGCGCCCACCTTGTCGATGAAGCAGGCGAACTGCGTGTTGAGGCTCTTGATCTGCTCCTTCTCCTGGCACCGGATCTCGTGCTCCAGCGGGTCCACGCCCACACAGAGGGGCTTCAGCAGCCTCTCGTCGATGCAGATGCCCTGGATGCCGTCGGGCCGGCGCTCGGGGTACCCCCTGACCAGGCTGTACCCGCGGGGGCCGCACAGCCCCGCCCGGCCCAGCTCTCCGAAGCAGCCGCCGGCGCCGCAGGGGCCGCTCACGTAGGAGACCCTCCTGCTGCCCCCGAGGTTGCAGACGCTCCTGCTGCTGTAGGCGCCGGCCCCGCAGCGGGAGGAGGCGGCGGCGACGGCCGAGCTGCGCCCGCAGATCTCCGAGGCCGAGCTGAAGCCCCTCCGCCCCAGCACGGAGCGCACCGTGGGCGCCTGCCGGCTCATTTTGCCAGGTTTGGGGGGGTTTTTCCTCCGAGCAAGAGATCCCTCTAGAGCGGCACGCACCGCGGGTGGCTCTGCCCCCTTTATATATCCTTCGGGAAGCCGGGGCCGTGATAGGATCAGGGCGGTAATTTGGGTTTGGTTCGCCCCGAGGGCGAGCGAGCGCTCCTCGAAATGCAAAGCCGGTAACTACTGAGGAAATAAAAAGAGGGGGGGAGATCTAAAAGCGCTCTGTTTGCAAGTCGCCCTCGAATACATTACGGTTTGAAGCGCTCCCCCGAAGTTAAGGCTAATTATAGTTTAGGGGAGGGTGTTGGGTTTTTTTTTTTTGGTGTTGTTTTTTTTTTGAAGGTGACTCTTTGTGATTTGTGCCGTTTGGGGTTTTGTGTCTCATGGGCCTCTCTCTGTGTGTTTGTGTTTGTGTGTGATGGGGCGTTTTGCAGACTTGCACTTCGTTGGGGGCAGTTTCACAACGTCTGGGGACGGGAAAAGGGGCTCGGAGGAGAAATAATAAAAGGAGAAATAAAAGGAGAAGAAATAATGAAGTCAAGACCTGGAAAAAAAAACAAAACCACGCTGTGGGAAGTTGTGCCAGGATGGGGCGTCTCTGCAGCCAAAACACCTGGTGGATTTGACAGGGTTTAAGGTCTGGATTTGTGTAAAAGGACTCAAAACATCCCCCCAAAAAACCAGCCACAGAATCCTGGGGATGTGCAGGATTTCACGCTGACCCCTTCCCACCACGAACCCCCCTGGAACCGAGCGGGTTCCACCCAGGACCCGTGACGTGGTCCAGGTTTGTGCCACCAGAGGCAGCTTTTCCTTGGGTAACTCCGTGAAATTCTCATCTATCACATCAAATTTCCGGCTCTTTTGGGGCCCCTGGCCAGGCTGGGGTGTCAGAACCCTTTGGGATTCACCTCCTGTTGGGAGCACAAAAAAAAAGTGGAACAATAACCTGATCCACCCCCTCCTGGAGTGACTTTGCCAGGCACGTCCTTGGCGCTCCAACCAGAGACATCTCGGAGGGGAAGAGCCCCCAGGCCCTGCCCTGGGGTGATTTCTGGGGTGATTCCTGGGGTGATTCACCCCCTGCAGGGGAGCCTTAATGAGTGGATTGGGCTGGACAGCTTTGATGAATCCCTCTCTCTCTTTCTCTCCCCTAATCACCATCCCAAGGAGGGAGAGGGAGGGAACCTCTCCAGGCCTTCTCTGAGCTGGAAAATCAAAACAAAAAAGGGCTCTTGCAGCTTTTTTTTGGGGGGGGGGATGAAGTGTTTGGGAGAAAAAAAAAGAAGAGAGAAAAAGTCGTTTACGGTGCAAACAACGGAACTCCCCCAAGTCCTTCCCGCCCCTCCGTGTCACAGCACGGGGGTGGCAGCTGGAGAATCCTCTTTAACCCCCTCCAAGGGCATTTTCCAAGAGCTGGGATGGTAAATCCATCCCCAAACCTCCCCCAAAACACTCAACTTTCCAAGACCCAAGTTCCTGAAAAGTCGATGGAAACCCCGGGACGTGACGGGCGGCCCCGAGATCCCCCAAGCCATTAATTGGACCTGTTAATTGGCAGCTCGAGGCGGGGCGGGGCTGGTGGTGTAAATTAAGCCTTCAAACTGCCACTTGTGCCCTCTGCAGATGGGGTAATTCGGGGGTATTTACGGCTCGAGACGTCCAGATTACACCTTTTGTTTCGGCCTGGGCTTGAACAAACAAAACTTCGGAGCTGCACTTTGGGGGCTTCCCCACCCCGGGCCCTTTGGGGTTTATAAATGAAGGTTTATCAGGAGAAATTAAAGAAATAATTAAAAAAAAAGCGCAGATTGGAGTGGGGAGAAGGGCACAAAAGGCGGTTTTTTGGGAGCCCTGTGGAGGAAAAGCCGGAGGGACGTGTGGGAGACACCTGGAATGTGGCACAGGCTGCAATTAAAGCGTCTGCGAGGCAGCCCCGGCTCCCATCGCTGCTTTCCAGGGAGGGGAGAGATTTCGGAATATTCCAGGCTCGGAAGGGACCCACGAGGATTTTGGCACCCAGATTTGGGAGGGTTGCTGGGTGACATTTGTGTGTTGGGTAAATTCTTGTTGATTCCCCCCAGTCCCAGTGGGAAATCAGCTGCTTTTGAGGGTTTTTAGGTCCCTCCACGAGACCTCAAGGATCGACGATCCTTTATCGGGATTTGGGAGAGGGGGAGAGAACTTCGGAGCGAAAAAAAGCGCATCGTTTGGATCCCCAAAAAAAACCCAAAAAACAAACAAACAAAACACAAAAAACCCCACAAAAACCCTCCAAAACCAAGCAGAAAACCACAAACAAACAAAAAAAACCACAAACCAACAAACAAAAAAAACAAACCAAAAAACCCCACAAAACCCAAAAAAACCCAACCAAAAAAAAGAGGAGAGGAAGCCAAAAAGGAAAAAAAATACTTTGAAGAGGGAGGGGGGGTTGGCTGAGTCATTTCGACGACTTTGCAATCGCCGCCTTTGTCAGCGTTTTTTTTTTGCCTCCCCGGCAGGGAACTCATCAGGGGAACATCACAGCTGAAGTTCCCCTCATTTGGCTGTCGCCTCTGGAGGTGGATCCGGACGAGCTTCCCCCAGAAGGTGTTTTATGTGACGGCCTCAAAGGGCTCTGTAATTTACCCGGAGCCTCCGAAGGCTGGGGTGGGACGATGGCAGGAGCCTCCCTTGTGCCGACACCCGCTGAGATCGGGGCAGAAATCGTCGGTTTTTGGCAGTTTTTTGGGTTGTGCACGCTCTTCTCCGAGTCATTCACGAGATCTTCAAGGATTCATTTGATGAGCGAAACCCCTCGTGTGTCCCCCCAAGGCCAAACTCATCCCAGGGGTGTGTTTTTAACTCCCTGTGCTTTTCAACTCCCATCAAAAACTCAGGATTTTCAAAGGATGCTCCTCATAAAAACCCCATCAAACACCTCGTCCCGGGGTTCCCCTCCCCCCATTTCCATCCTCCCGCAGCCACCAAACTGGCCACGGCTCCTGATTCCCTCTTTGAGCCTCCCTTCCCTGCTGGGGAAGCATCTCCAGATCGGCATCTCCAGACGGTGACTCACGGCAGTCGGGAGGAATCCACCTCTTCAGGTCCTTCCCCCCTCCGTGGGATCCCCGGGCACCAGAGCCCGTCTAGACAACCAGACACCCTGCCCGGCGCCCCAGCTGGGCTGCTTGGAGGGAGGTGGAATTATTTGTGGGTCCTTTTCCTTCCTTCCTTCCTTCCTTCCTTTCCTCCTCCCTCCAGGCGCTGAAATTTTCTCCCGGCGCCTTTGAAGTCCCAGAGGAGGGCACGGAGCACTCTGGGTGCCACAGAGCCCTGGTTTTGATCCTCCTGGGGTGTGGGGATGGGTGGGAATCCCAGGAAAAAAAAAGTAAAAAGGAGGGGAAAAAAGGATGGAATTGTTTTATCTTTCAGGAGGTCAAAGAAACGTTCCTGTAAATCCAAAGGGGTCGCTGATCCCTCCCAGTCCAAGCTGTTTTCCAGCTGGAGAATCCCAGGATATGTCCAGTTGGAAGGGACCCACAAGGATAATAATCCTGGTCCTGCACAGGACCAGCACCAAGAGCCACCCCACGGACATTCCCTGAGCCATCCCAAGGTGGGAATTGCCCAGGACATTCCCTGATCCATCCCAAGGTGGGAATTGCCCAGGACATTCCCTGATCCATCCCAAGGCAGGAATTGCCCAGGACATTCCCTGAGCCATCCCAAGGTAGGAATTGCCCAGGACATTCCCTGATCCATCCCAAGGTGGGAATTGCCCAGGACATTCCCTGATCCATCCCAAGGCAGGAATTGCCCAGGACATTCCCTGAGCCATCCCAAGGCAGGAATTGCCCAGGACATTCCCTGATCCATCCCAAGGCGGGAATTGCCCAGGACATTCCCTGAGCCATCCCCTGAGCCATTCCAAGGCAGGAATTGCCCAGGACATTCCCTGAGCCATCCCAAGGCAGGAACTGCCCACAATGTTCCCTGATCCATCCCAAGGCAGGAATTCCCCAGGACATTCCCTGAACCATCCCAAGGCAGGAATTGCCCAGGACATTCCCTGAGCCATTCCCTGATCCATCCCAAGGCAGGAATTGCCCAGGACATTCCCTGAGCCATCCCAAGGCAGGAATTGCCCAGGACATTCCCTGAGCCATCCCAAGGCAGGAATTGCCCAGGACATTCCCTGAGCCATCCCAAGGTGGGAATTGCCCAGGACATTCCCTGATCCATCCCAAGGTGGGAATTCCCCAGGACATTCCCTGAGCCATCCCAAGGTGGGAATTGCCCAGAACATTCCCTGATCCATCCCAAGGTGGGAATTGCCTGGGACGTTCCCTGATCCATCCCAAGGCAGGAATTGCCCAGGACATTCCCTGATCCATCCCAAGGCAGGAATTGCCCAGGATGTTCCCTGATCCATCCCAAGGTGGGAATTGCCCAGGACATTCCCTGATCCATCCCAAGGTGGAATTGCCCACGGAAGCTGGATCAGGTCCTGCTGGGAAGAATAATGAGCTGAGAGGGGAGGGAGGAAAAACCCCTACCTCCTGCTGTGCCAAAACAGAGGGCTTGGTTTGGTTGGGTTTGGTTTAGTTTGGTTTGGTTGGGTTTGGTTTGGTTGGGTTTGGTTTGGTTTGATTGGGTTGGGTTGGGTTTGGTTGGAATTGGTTTGGTTTGGTTTGGTTTGATTTGGGTTGGGTTTGGTTTGGTTTGGTTTGGTTTGGTTGGGTTGGGTTGGGTTGAGTTGGGTTTGGTTTGGTTTAGTTTGGCTTTGGTTTGATTTCGTTTGGTTTGGTTTGATTGGATTGGGATTGGTTTTGGTTTGGTTTGGTTGGTTTTAGTTTCATTTTGGTTTGGCTTGGGTTGGGTTGGGTTTGGTTTGAATTTGGTTTGGTTTTGATTGGGTTGGGTTTGGTTTGGTTTCATTGGGTTTGCTTTGGTTTGGTTTGGTTGAGTTGGTTTGGTTGGGTTTGGTTTGGGTTTGGTTTGGTTTGGTT